TAAGTTGTGCATTTGGTGATGTATTACATGTGCTATTTGTGTTTTTCATCGGTATGACTGGTGAGAAAGACATGCATATGAGAATGCATAATTCTACTCTTGATTCCTCTTTTTTTTTTCTTCTCTTTGACTGAATTGGAGCATAAAAGTAATCATTTGAAAGCAGAACTGTAATATAACCACATTACATCATAATATAATGTACTGAAATTAATTTTAGAAAAATGAGTTTAACTCATCATATTCATAGTATAAGTGCTACTATTTTAAAAGAACTTTGATAAAATAATTGATGATGTCTTAAGCATTCCTTTGTTTCAATTAAACAAACATGAGCATTTTCACATAGCTGAGAGTTTGATCTTTAGCCACAGTGTTTCCTGAAATATCTTACTCCAGGAAGGTGGTTTTTTTTTGATTTTGCTTTCTGAAGTTATTTCCATATATTGAACTTTAAGAGCTCTGAAAAGGTAATGGTGCTTAATCTCTGGGACTACTGTATGCTTGATAGGCCTTACATAACTGATATCTGGCACGGGCAGATGAGCAGGGTGGCACTAGGGTTCTGAAAAAGTGGAGAGGCACTTGGAAATAAAGTATTAATTAAATATTATTACGGTAGAAGCAGGCATTCCTTAAATACTTACTGCAGTATCCAATTTTAGATTTGGAACACATAGTGCATGCTTTCTTCTCTTTTTTCTAAAAATAGTATAACTACTAACAGGATTAGTATCCTAACTATATCCTCTTCTGCTACATGTGAGTACATTCACTGCTTTAGTATCTAGGAACAGATGACGAATAGTGTGAAGGGAAGCCAGGTTTGCTGGGCTGGGTTTGTCTCAGGGCTAAACACCTACCTGGGCTCTTTCCCTCTCCTTAGCAGGACAGGAAGAGAAAACAAGATGGAAAAGCTGGTGGGAGATGGCCTGGCAGTGTCAAAGGAAAAAAAATTTGGACTTTGGGAAAATTAATTTCATTTATTGTGAGTACCCAAGGACCCGGTAATGCTTTTTTACATTATGGAGTAGAAATTGGATATATGTACTTGCTGGTTTGCTGAAACTTAAATAAATTCACATGGTGAGAAGAGACAGTGATCTTTTTATGGTTACACAAAGATTTATCTCAATCATGTTTATTTACAGCAACAGATTTCGCAGTGCTTTACCCAAATTATAGAGGGTGATATCACATAGTTTTGCTGCCTCATCTGAAATGAAGTAATTCTCATCATAAAAACATTTCATGAGCTTATTTTTCTTGAAATATATTGTTCTTTTATGATCTCATGTTTATTATGTAATCAGTACTAGCTTCTGAAAATATATCTATTGCACTGTCCTGCTTGTGACTGAGGCCTCTCTATGTACGTCAGTCTTTGGTGTGTTACTTTTCTGTTTCTCTCTTTGTTTAACTTCTCTGTGCAATAACATAAAGAGCTTGAGACGAAGCTAATAAAATATAATCTAATTGTTATTTTGTCTTGTTGGCACCATAGAAAGAAGGGAAAACAGGGTTGCTATAGGGAAATCTTACAGCTGTAATTTTTCCATGCAACACTGAGTGGTTTTATTTTGTGACAAGAGAGCAATAAAATTTTCCACTGAGGAGGCCAAAACCCAGTTGTAAAATCTACCTTTGTGCAATTTCCTTGTTGGTATTTTCTGTCTGGCTCTAAAGTGGAATAAACCCTATTGCCTGCTGCATAAGCCTACTGAGCACATGAGAAAAAATCCTCTGTTTGAAAGTTTTTGAGCCAAAAAATTGACATCAACACCCAGTCTCACAGACATTTCCTGATACTGGAAGGCCTCTCCTATAAGCAAATGCAGTCATAACCTAATCTAGTGGCTGGCAGCTGACATTACGTTTGTGTAGGTTGCTTTGAAAGTAATGACTCCTATTTATTTCTATGGAAAATACAACAGATAAAGCCAGCACAATAACACTATTAGAGGGAGAAAATTCTCAGCTATAAAATGTTTTTCAACAGTCACCATCAGGAGACATGCATTTTTGCCAGGGATAAACAAGAGCCTGCATGCTGCACTCTATCTGCACCAGTGGAGGTGACTGATGGCACTGCTGAAATGCACCACCAACCTCCTCACTGTGCTCGCATCCAGTGTTTGATCTCCATAAACATTCAGCAAGCATTGATGAATGTCAACGAGTGCCACTTTTACCAGACTATGTAGTGTATTTACGCGTTTTTCTCACTTTGAAACTAATGGGAATTATGTAACTGTCCTCCTCTCAAAATCTGATCTAAACATTTTGTCAAAATCTCAAGAAACTGCTTGTTTTTCCCCTTTCTCCTGTGTGGCTTGAGGGTAGCTTCGCAGAGGTCAAGAGTTAAGATATTTGAAGTTGTATATGGAGGAGCAAATTTGTCTTGAAAAATCATAATATTTGCAATTTAAAGGCAAATACTATTCTATTTGTTTTTATAGTTCCCACCATAAGCACAACTAAGTGTCTCACAAACTATAAGAAGATTATTGCTCAGACTTCTCTTTGTTATGGACAGAAATTGGATTTCAAAATCATAAGCAGGAAGTATGTAGGAAGTATGTTCACATGTATTCACCTCTTCAGTTCTTATGGTTCCTGCAAAGCCCTTGGTACTAACTGCTCTTTGAGAAGTTATTTCTTTGTCAAACACAATAAATTGTAAGAAGAACAAACGTCTGTAAAATTAATTAAACAATTTATTGGGGAAAGAATATAGTATATTACATTTACCATATTGCCATATTACATTTGAAAGTCTTTTTGTGTGTGTGTGTCTGATTCTATACGATAGTAGTACATAAGGTGGCATATGTCTGTAAGAGTACCCTTTTTTTGGTGTATCTGTGATGATAAAAATAATACCCCAACATTTCTTTGTATATCTTTTATCATTTTTCCACTGGTATATTTATAAGTATAATAGGAAATCTTTGGAATTTAGTATTTAGAAACTGAATTGAATAAAGAAGCAATTCTATAAAAAAATAATTCAGACTAGTACTGCATCTAAAACTCACTTCCCCTGCACTTTTCTTACACATGGTTGTGTGAATAATTGGTATTTTCTTCTGGGTTACTCCACAATTTTTAAAAAAAATTTAGATTATCAGCTTTAGTAATTGTGTTACTTGTGCCCCAAATGACATTGATGGTTCGAGCTTTAGGTCATTGCAGCCTGCCTTTAAAATATTAATTTTATTCTTGTTCTACAATGTTTAAAACACTGTTATACCACAAAGATAACTGAGCTGTTCTGTTTTTTGACTAGTCACTTTATTTTTATAAAGTTTTTATTCTACATCTTTTCATGAATTGTCTTGTCTAGGTGGCCAATTATTGTCATTAATTTTAGTTAGATAACTTCTGAATTAGTATCTTTGTACCACTTCACTTTATCTGTGAAATTTAAATGTCTGATGCTTTTATCTTCTGTCACTTTTTTCATGCACCTTTAATCACCTGACCAATGTTCAACAAAATTTCCTTTAAAATTGCTTTTTTGCATTTGAGATACTTAGTGAAAATTGACCGGTTTTTATGTTTGGACAAGAAAACCTGAAATACCAAGTGACTCTTCTACAAACATTGCATGTCAATTTTATGTTGCCTCTTCTTTTGTGCGGTAGCACAAATTCAAAGTGATTTCTCAAATTGCCCTCATCCGTATGAACAGCTGATTTTTCAATCCTTATCCAGTGAGGAGTGTTGTCTTCTCACACAAGAAAAAGTGATTCACAAGGAGATTGGCTAAACTGTTGAGATAAGGAGTTTAAGAAACTGATAATATTTATGGCAAAAAGAATCTCAGCTCAACTTCACTTCTCATATTATAGATGTTGCTTAGTAAAATCTTTTAGCGTACATTTCTACCTTTAGTTTCTTATTAGACTGCAGGATTTTTGAGTCTGCAACTTGGGCTTTTGGGCATAACAGATGCAAAATGGGGAGCTTTATCCTCGCTAAATCTTTTTTATTTTTTGGTATTTCTTTCAGTCAGGCTTTCTGTGAGTTTCCTTTTTCCATACCTGTTTGCACAAAAAATTTTGCAAGTACTGCCTTCACAGTCTTGTGTTTGACTTCTAGAATCCAGAAGTGGAGCACAATTATAAAGTGGCCAAATAATTAAGTTCATATCCAGGAAAGAAAGGAATACCTCAAAGACAACGTTTTCCTGTCCTGTTTCCCCATGGAAATAGACAGCCTTGTATTATTTATTTGCAGTCAGCTTAGTAATTAAATTTCTTTGATAGACTTTTTTGTGTATTATGGGAAACATTTCTTTCCAGAAGTATCTCACTCCAAGCATTGGAGGGAGGGGAGATTCTCTGATTTATATATATATACCTGATGGCAAGACTGGGACACAACAGGTCAACTGTTTGCCTGATCAGTTTATTACAAATCTTAGTTGCATGGGGAGATGGTGAAGGGAAGACAGGAGATACAAAAGAGATAGGAAATAAAAAATAACAAGCCACTGTAGAAAGCATAAGGACACTGAGGTTCCAGCATTTCTCCTAGTTTTTCTTCAATTTGAGGAACTCGCTTAATAACGGCAGCGGATGGGAGAAAGCCAGGAAGCTTCACAACAAGCAGGCCCCAGGGGGCTCTTTCTTAAGTGATTTTTTTCTCAGTGAATTCTATTGCAAGTGGTTTATTTTCTCAGGGAGTTCCTCTCCTGAGCACTTAGTTTAGTGGGAACCTTTTATCCTCTGCTTCTCAGTTTCTTTTTTTCTTCTTTTCTCTCTGTTAGCGTGACATATCTGACCCAACACATTAGCCAGTAGGGAATGGTGTCTTCATTGCCATGCACAAGTGTATAGGAACTGTTGAGTCACAGCCTGACCAACTGATTGATCACCTGAGGCAAGGACTGAGTCAGCCCTGAGAGCACAGGTGAAGGAGATTCAGCTGTGTGACTGGAAGGGGTGGAGCCTGACTGCACTTCTCCTAGACTCTATGTAAGGGCTGACTGCCACTGGGGAAGGGTCTCCTTCTGGAGATTTCTTCTCTGTGGAGCTTTTCCTGTAAATCCAGATCTTTGGATACAGGTGAGTATTCCTTCTTTGTTTCTTTTCCTGTCTTCACCATGATAATCTTTCCAGCTGTAATGCTAACTGTAACAATAAACATAATCACTTTTTGCAGTGGTCAGCTCCTTCAAGCTGCTCCCCTGAAAAAGACTGCTTGTCCCTGCTTTTGCTTATTTTTATGTTCGTATACAGAAGTATTGTACACAGTGACACCCACCACTCGTTTCATAGATAGTTTGCAGTTGTCAGAGTCTTGTCACCAAAAAGACTTTGTGAAGCAAGCTTTGAGCCAAGAAAAAGAAGGGGGTTGGGGGGGGGGTGGGAAATGACAAGGGGCTCAGAAAACTGTATTTCACAAGAAATAAGTGAGCTGATGTACTTAAGCCTATTAAAAGCAAGTGCAATTTCACTTAATAAACATTCAAGTAGTGCCTTGAAAGTGCCACTGTATTTTACAGTGTAGTGCAACTCCTGCTCAGAGAGCAAATGAATTATGAAATAAGTTTGGTGGTAACTGGTTCCTGAGAGGTATATGTTTAATGACATTTTCTGTCAGGCAGTTTGCCAGCTTGTAGGCTAGCTGGTCGGTAAGCAGACCTTTCCCGCTTTATTATAAGAGAAGTACCTGTGTGAAGATGATGGAAGTGGAAGGACCCTGTCAGATTCCTTATAATTTGGGAAGAGAGAAGATAAAACTAGGAGTTCTGATGTATCTGAGTTGTACCTCAGCATCTTTAACTGAAAATATATTCCAAATAAGCTGTAAGATCTTACACTGGAGAAGTTGGTACTGTACTGCAGGTGCTTATTCAGAACAAACAAAATTATAGCAGTAGTATTTCTATGTGAAGAGAATAACCTTAGAAAATGTAACCACAGCCACAACTCACTTGCTTTTGCTTTTCGTACTCGGGGAAAGGAAAGTTGGAGATACTGTTGTTGAATCACTGTAAGTCTCACTGTGAAGAACTTAAATGCTGTACTGATGAGTGCTCTGGAAAACTTGAGAGAACTTAAATTTTCTTGGTTTTTTTTGGTTTTTTTTTTTTTTTTTTTCCCTTCAGTCTCTGCTTTCTTGTCTTCACAAAGTGGAACAAAATAAGAATTACAAACCATGCATCATGATTTTGTTTGTGTTTTCTAAGGTAAGGCGGTGCTGAAAGAGGCAGTATCAAACTGAAAGCATCCCATTTCTTTTCTCTGTGTAGGTCAACTTATTCATTGTTTGTAAGAACTCTGTTCGCTATGTATCCCTAACAAAATGTTATTTATATCTGAATGTTATTAAGAGAATAATAAAGCAAGTATCTAGAGTGTATGAGGCAGGAAGGCGTGAAATAATGAATAAATTGGATTTTACCTATTTTTAACTAGTAATAAATTGAGATTTCTTTCTCTTAGTATAGTGTGTAGAGATGCAGGATCTGGCCCTTGTTCAGGAAAGAAACTTAGTAAATCTTAATGTGTCACGGTATTTCTTTTTCTACTTCATATAATGTTTCTAAAGTGTTTGAATTACTTATTTTTATATCAGTGAAATTATGCTCTAGGTGGTAAAGCAATCAGATGTTGAAGTGCAATCTTGAGTACATGCATACTGGCCTTGCAGGGGTAGGTGGAAGCTTCGTATACAAATACAGTAAATGTATTTAGTTCACAGTATGTAAATGGACTGCTGAGAAGATTTTTGTGTTGCACCCTGGTGCCCTTTAATGTATGCATACTGCGATGCTCATTTGTGCCATAGTCCTGTTGTATCTCAGAGGATTTTTCAGTGGCCTTCATCCGAAGATAAAGAAAAGCAGAATATGCAAAATAAATGTGATGGGAGGTTTTAGAAATGTTATTAAGTAATCAGTATTTCACCTGCTGTACTAAGTGGATGCTGCTATTAGTAAGCACTAGAGGATAGGTTTTCAGTGAATAAAGACTCAGAATAGAAGAAAGCTTTGATAATAATGTGAATTGCATGTTTAATTCTCTGCATGCCTTACTGAGAATTAGCTAGTAGTTGTATGGGACTTGAGATCAGCTAAAGCTGTCTTCAGCTCAAAGTTTTCATTTCCCAATGTTGCAAATACTTTTTTATTTGGCTTGTAAATCCACAAACACTCTGCTCTGTTATTATACATGCAAATTGACTCTAACTGGATCATTTTGCGTCAGCCTGAGCTGATGAGAAAAGCCTCACGCTAACCATATGCTATACTATCTTTGCAAAGGGAGCAATGGGATATTTTGTATCTTCTCACAGCTATCATAAGGTCCATAGGCAGGTTTTTTTTTGTTTGTTTTTTTGTTTTTTTGTTTTTTTTCCCTAAACTGTTTTAAGGCACCGGAGGAGATCTGGCTTTATAATTCCTATTTCTGAAGATGATTTGCTTCTAGTCTAAAAACAGAGGAAAAGATTTTACAGTGGGAAGCAATCCATGTATCTGCAAAGGGCTAAAAACAACCTCAATAGTTGAGAATTCATCATAAAACTATTTTTTCCAGATTTCATGAAAATTAAACATTGGAATTTATTTCACTTATAATTGTAATTGTAATTCCTCAGTTTAAATGGAGAAGCTTATCTATCTGTTTGTTTTTTTTTTTCTTTCAACATTTATGTTGAAGGTCTGTGTACGTATCTTCAATAGTCTTTACTGACTATTGTTTACTTAGTCAGTATTTCCTGTGGTTTCCTCTGATAAAATTTTGACAAAGTTATACCCATTCAAAAGTAGCCCATGCAGGTTTTCTTGGTATATTTTTCTATCACACAGTTTTCTTGATTTTTCTGGTACTTAATAGAATCATACTATTATTAGGCAATTAGAGATTTACTTCCTTTCTTTGTTTAAAAGATTAATATGTGACTTACCTTCTTTTTTTGCGAAAACAAGGAAAAAGTTGCCACGCATTATCTCTTAAGAATTTTAAGATCTGAGTACATCAAAATCAGCTATCCATTAGGGAAATAAAATTCGAACAAAACTTCTAATTTTTTTTCCAAGGAAGTGGGCTGGGGCTCATAACACTAGGCTGTCCGCATTACAGATAAATTAAATAACTGTAATTGTGGTTGTTTTACTCATGACTGTTGTTGCTGATGCATTTACTATTTACTAGTTTCTTGATATTCAATCAAAATAGAAATAATTATTTTCTGAAAACCAGTCAAAATATTTGTGTTTATTTAAATGATAACAATAAAATCCAGATGCCTTGAACTCCATTAAACAAAGGCTTAAATGAATTTGATATTTTTAAAATGAAATAATTTTTCTTAAAATTTCCTTGTCAGCTCTAATAATGAAAAAATAGGCTTTCATTTTTCTTTCAGTTTATTCCATTCAGTAACAAAAGCAGAAGGAAAAAGTGAAGATTTCAACTATTGGAGTAAATGTTTGCATGAGGTATTTTTTCTACCTTGAAGCAGCTCTCTGTATTAAAGTCCCAGGGGGATGAAACTCAGTGAAAAAAAAAAGTCACTTGGGAAACATAATTTGCATTTTCAATATAATGCTTAATAAGCGTTTTCAGGTAATGAGCACACTTCAGATATTCTGTAGCAGTTTGAGAGTTGTTAATGGTGGTGTCATTCCCAGAATAATTCTAAATGTTTAGATCCCTGTGGTGAGTCTAATCACTGAAATTATACATTCTCCATAGTTTATTTGTTGTCCCCAAAACATATTTTTCAGCTTTCAGACAAACTCTTAAATACTATTAATCAGCTTGGAAGAGGTTAGTTTTCTTAATTTAATTAAGATTTTATTATGGAATATAGGATTAATTTAATTCATAATTTAAGCTAGTTAAATAACCTTGTGGACTTGAATAACGAATTACACTGAGTATCTACTGCTAAAATAAATAACATAAGCCTCTATGTAAAGACTTCTAATCCCTGTAATTAAGGTTCTTAAATATTTTTTACTTTTGTGTTAAAAGAAGACTAGTTCACATGACGTTTACTTAAACATTCTGTAGTACAGCACCTTCTAGAAAAAATGTTGTTAGACATCAAGTGTGAATGTTTTCGATCCACTGACTATTGTTCTGCTTGTGAAAAAATTATAAAGCAGTGTTATCTACTGCACTGTGAACATGAGTTTACAACTTCTAATACTAGACTCCATAGAGACTAATTCTAAAGTAGCTCTAGAAAGTTAGTTATTTTTCTGAAAATTGAACATTGGAAGCAAAACTAATAAAAGAATAACAAACTTCTGATCCCTTCATTGTGTTACAATGTTCAGAAATACTAAGTCAAATATACTTTTATAATTGAGGGTCTGATACCCAAGAATAGTTTGATATCAGTACTATGTTGTGAGAAATGCTGGATCTGATTTTTAAGGAAGAGATTTAGAACAATATTTGAACACGTGCATAATTTTGAATGTGTGAATACTTATAAACCTCAGCTGTTAATGTCTTGTTCACACTTGTGAATGCCACTCGTAAATTTACATGTACTCGTAAATTTACAGTACCTACTTGGATATGAGGTCTATAGGACTAATTTCTTAACAATGAAAACTAAAATTATTTTGAGATTAAATTTGAACTTTCAGTGCCTACATTTATTTTTGATAAATAAATTGCTTAAGATTAAACCAGAACTCTTTGTTCCGGATGATGGCAAAATATGACTTGCGAATCACAGTGCATTGGATACTTCTCTGTTTAGTTTTGCCATTTTAAATAATGTTATATAAGTTTGGAAAGGCCCCTTCTTTAATGTGTGGTGTTGTCACTGTTTCACAAGTGAGAATGGGATGATAGTACACATGTTCCCATAGTTGCTGTCTTCTAACCTACAAAACACTTTGTCTACTCTTTTTCAGTTCTGTAATGCTAATGGCTCTTTCATCTGATTTGTTTGCACTGATTTATGTTATAGTAACAAAAATGTGGTTTGGAAGTTGTCTGTGGAGTGCTGACAGTTGAACCTGTATTAACAGGTAGGGTCGCTTAATGTGAGAGAGCCTAAAAATAGATAGGAAGAAAAGCACTGCAGTTGCTGA